CCGGATAGGTATTCGAGAAGAGATGCGATCCACGGGTCACGACGTTGTTCGGTGGCAATTGAGAGAAAATTTAACGATGACAAGTATGGAGGCACGTGTTTCCGCACGTCGGATCTGGTGGCAAAGGTGAGCGGGACAGGGTGTCAGCGTCAGTGTGTTTGCGTTCACAGCGGTATACGGCGCGAATGTCTTACTCCTGGATGCGGAGTGCCCATCGCGCAAGGCGGCCAGAAGGGTCTTTCAGCGTGGAGAGCCAGCAAAGCGCGTGGTGATCAGTTACTAGATCGAACGGGCGGCCGTATAAGTATGGCCAACACTTTCCAAGCGCCCACACCAGAGCCAAACACTCTTTTTCTGTCACGCTGTAATTAGTTTCGGCTTTCGTCAGAGTGCGGCTAGCGTAGGCTATATGTATACAACGTATTCTGAATAGCCGGGATTTCGTTGGGCGAGGACAGCACCTAGCCCGACGCCGCTGGCGTCGGTGTGCACTTCGGTAGGAGCCGTCGGGTTGAAGTGGTGAAGAATAGGTGGCGAGGTGAGCAGAGGGCGCAGAGTAGTGAAGGCAACGTCACATGCAGGGGACCAGGAGGAGAGGTTCACGTCACCGCGAAGAAGCTGGGTTAATGGTGACATGATGGATGCAATATTGCGAACAAAGCGCCAGAAATATGAGCATAGGCCTACAAAACTGCGAAGTTCCTTCATGGTCGTCGGCTTGGGAAATTCTGCGACTGCTCGAAGTTTTGCTGGGTAAGGTAATACGCCGTGCTTTGACACGATGTGGCCTAGGATGACGAGCTCGCGTGCAGCGAAGCGGCATTTTTTCAAGTTAAGCTGCAGGCCAGCATTGGTCAGGCAAGTCAAAAGCTGCCTGAGGCGAAGGAGGTGCGTAGGAAAGTCGTGCGAGAAAACCACGACATCGTTGAGGTGGCAGAGGGACATATTCCACTTGAGGCCACGTAGCGTATTATCCATAAGTCGTTCAAACGTGGCGGGCGCGTTACAAAGTCCAAAGGACATGAGGTTAAACTCGTATAGTCCGTCATGTGTAATAAATGCAGTTTTTTTGGTGATCGGCTTCAGCCATTGAAACTTGCCAGTAGCCAGACCGCAAATCTAGTGACGAGAATTCCGCTCCGTGAAGGGTGTCAATGGCGTCATCAACGCGTGGCAAAGGATATACGTCCTTGCGGGTTATCTTAATCAAACGACGATAGTCTACGCAAAATCGTATAGATCCGTCTTTCTTACGCACCAGGACGACAGGAGACGCCCAGGGACTGTGAGATGGTCGAATGACGTCTCTACGAAGCATATCTTCGACTTGATCGTTGATGACGCGGCGCTCTTCAGTGGAGACACGGTATAGTCTTTGACGCAGTGGCTGGTGTAGGCCGGTGTCAACATGATGCATGACTTGCGACGTGCGGCCTAGTTGAGGTTGGGACACATCGAAGGAATTCCGGAACTCATGCAGAAAATCAAGCAGGTCGGCATGTTCGGTGGGAGTGAGGGTGTCGGCGATGGCGCTGGAAAACGTATCCTTGGACGACTCCTCGAAGGCCAACAGTGATTTTGGGTGGTCGCAGTAGTCATCCAGGACTTCAACCAAAGACGAAGGGTCGAGATCCTGCACGCGGCTGAGACATTCCCCCGCAAGCAAAGTGACAGGTGTGGAAAGCGGGTTGAGTATGAACATATTGCTTCTTCCGGCGCCAAGGTCAATCGTTGCGAAAGGCAGCGGCAGAGCTCGACGACTCGTGAAGATATTGGAAGGCATAAGAAAGACTGTAGCGTCAGTCTAGGCGTTGCATGAAGCTGGAACAAGTGCGAAATTTTCAGGTGGAATATCAGTGTCTTCATGCACGAACAACTTCGGCGGCTGATGAAGAGCGTCAAGTAATGGGACATCACAAAAGGGTGAAAACTCAACTTCAGCGCGTGCGCAGTCAATGACGGCATTATCGCGGGATAAGAAGTCCCATCCGAGGATGACATCATGCGAACAGTCAGCGAGGACAATAAACTCCACAATGTAAACAATGCCTTCGATGGACACTCTTGCAGTGCAGGCTGCGAGAGGCGTTACTTGCTGTGCACTTGCGGTGTGGAGTGACAGTCCCGAAAGCGGCGTCGTGACTTTACGTAATACACGGCAGACATTAGCGGCAATAACAGAAACAGCGGCGCCGGTGTCTACAAGGGCGAAAGTAGAAGAACCTTCAACAGTTACTGCGACCACGTTAGCAGGAGAGGGGCGAGGGCTTAGACAGTTTAAAAATGGCGCAGTTTTTGCCTCTTGAACTGCGGTGCTTAGTTTTCCTGGTCACAAGGTCTGGGCCGGCGACGCTTCGCGGAGGGCGATCGCCGACGAGGAGAGGGTGCGCGCAGCATCATGAAGTCGGGGTCGTTAGGAGGGGCATAGCGAGGTGACAAGACCGGCCCGTATTGCGCGAAGGGTTTTGCTGCCGGGATGCGATGATCGGACATGGTCGCCGAACGTCTGAGGTCGACGGCGGCAGTAGCGGGCAACGTGTTCGAGAGTAAAGCAGGCGTAGCATATCGGTCGGTTATCGGGCGTCCTCCGAGAATTGGCGACTGGTGGTGCCGCCCAAGGTGCAGTATAAGCAGCCGGGTGTGCGGGCTGTGAGCGCGAGGTGTAGGGTGGTTGCGGAAGCCTACGCACAGCGTCTGCAATGTGAATAGCGCTGCTACCGGCTGCATCACTTGCGAGCAGGCGACAGGAGGAGCCACAGGCTGCGCTGCATACGTTAGGAGCGCGGCCACAGGCTGCACGGCTGGCGGATAGGCGACAGGAGGGCCTACCAGCTGCGCGGCACGCTGGCAGTGCGCACGGCTGGATAGAGGCGGCTTGTGGTGAGCAACAGGAACAGCTTGGGCTACCTCTTCCGAAATAGCAGTGCGAAGCGGGGCAGGTAGACGGGTAGTGGTCTCGTGAGTGAAGGGCACTCGGGAAAGTTGGCGGGCGACTTCCTCACGGACGAAGGCTCGAACTCGCTGAAGCAGCGGTGAATCGTCAGGCAGGGTGTCGAAACTGGACTGTGACTCACCACCATGCTGAGGCTGCCGAGTCAGAGTGCGTTGCTTCTTCAACTCGTCGTAGCTCTGACACAAGCTGACGACTTCGGAAACTGTGCTCGTATTTCTTGCCAAGAGCATTTGAAATGCGCCGTCGTCGATGCCCTTCAGGATGTTTTTGACCTTGTCAGATTCGGGCATGGTGTCATTCGCACGTCGACAAAGGTCGACGACGTCCTCAATATAGCTGGTAAAGGTCTCGCCAGTCTGCTGAGAGCGGACGCGCAAGCGCTGTTCTGCCCTCTGCTTGCGAACAGCCGGCCGACCGAACACTTCAGCACATGACGTCTTGAGGACGCTCCATGTGGCGATGTTGTGTTTGTGGTTATTAAACCACGATTCGGTGACGCCAGTGAGATAAAATATAACGTGGCCCAGCTTGTCGGCTTCATCCCACTTACTGTTGGCGCTCACCAGTTCGTAGTGCTCGAGCCAGTCTTCGACGTCGGTCCCATCCGCACCGCTGAAGACCTTCGAGTCCTCTAGGCCAGAGCAGTTGAGTCATCCTAGGCCAGAGCAGTTGGCCATCCTAGGCCAACTGCTCTGGCCTAGGATGGCCAGAGCAGTTGAACTGGAGCGAAGGCGTCGATGTAGTGGCGTTGGCAGTCGTGACAGGTGGTAGCGTGCGGCTTCGCAGCTCCAGGGTGTAGCAACGGGGATTAACAGCACCTTCCACCAAATGTGAGGAGGTTTATTAGCCGTTAAGGACAGCGACGAGACAGCGTGAAGAACCGCCCAGCGATCGGCACAGCAACGAACCGAAGCACGAGCCGAGAGAGCCGGGCGTTGGCGATGCTGCTTGCTGCAGGCACATCTTCTTCTTCACAGAACATTCATATATTACTCATTAGGTAACTAATATGAGTGAAAATACGTGAAGTTCACGCTCTTCAAAGAGCGTGCAGTCGCTGTCATGTGTGAAATCGTGGATTTATTTTGAACCGCTTACCTCTTTGAGAAACACAGTATTAGGCAATTGAGTGCAACTGAATTTTTAATTTGAAAATAATGCTCGCGAAAGATGATGCTCTTATTAAACTAATATCAACAAGAACAAGATTGATAAATATACTCAGAACAATCAAGACAGGGAATTCAAAAACTTGCCTTTCCTATGATAGACAAATGCTACACTAGTGGCAACTCTGCCACCCTACTGGCTTTGTAGTTTTAGTGTTCAGCTGCTGATGTAAAATACACCAATCAGTCCCTTCGGCTTTGCACAAAGTTCCATACATTAGCGCTGAGAGCATTAAATTTAAGGAAAAAGCCAGTTCTTAATAAACAAGACGTTATTAGTGGTACCTAAAGCAATTACAGAATCTTGGCGTACCACCACACATAATAATAGTCATAGAAAATTTCCCGCTCGACTGTTAAGCGGGCAATCACTACTATCTTCAATGCTCGTAAGGCAAATAGTGATTGTTTCACCAGGCATCTTTTGTAATTGTCACTTGGCTCGTAAAGGTAGTATCGACTGTTTCACTACAGTGTCAGAGCGAAGTGACAATTATTACAGATTAAAAGCACCGTGCAGTCGAGCTTTCTAGTGTGACTGCAGCGCCATAACGTAATGGCTAGCGGAGAAAAAACGCAATAATAGGCTGGGGTCAGTCTAAAAGGAGCGCGATGGTGGCGTCTCCCTGCCCAGGTGGGTGAGCCGATCGCAGCAGAGATACACGGGGGCGCCTAACGGCCAACGTCAACGAACTAAGCATGGGTAGGGCCAGGAACGCAGCTACCTCTGGTCAGCGAATGGTGCCTATAGGCATCTGTTATAAGTGTTACTTGGTTATGTTTGCACCTTTGCTTCACGTGCAATGGAAGGACACAGACGAAAATAGGTATTGAGAAGTTCTACGTAACTATCTCATTCGCATGCCTTGTGTTTACAGGACCTTGAAGAACTGCTGAGTCACTTTGTGGAGGATGAAAAGGAGATCATCAGAAAAGAGCAGGAAGAGAAAGTGGAAAGGGAGAGAGAAAGACAGGAGCAGCAGAAAAGGGAAGAAGAAATGAGACACGAACAATTGCTGGAGAAATTAAGGCAGGAAGCGAGAGAGGCGGAATTGAAGAGAGAAATAGAAATGTTGAGAGAACAGAAGACAAAGATAGAACAAGAACAAGCGCGGGACAGAGAAGTTGACGCGAAGATGGAGAGATTGAAACAGGAATACAATATGAAAATAGAGCTCTTGGAGCTGAAATTGGCGGAAATGAGAAACGCAAGTGACAAGCCACCATTGATATGTGTCATTTCGTGAAGTTGCATGTGTAACAACAGTATGTAACACGTTGCGATGACATGTTAAGATTATGATACACCCATGTGGAAGAATTCCTTTCTTACGCAGCTAGCCCTGAGGGGGTTTTGTTCGATAACCACAGGACTTTAGATGCAAAGGATATAATGATCAGTATGCTGTGGGATTACTTCGAAGTTCAATTTTCTTCAGGGTGGATAGAAGTATTTAGCTGCTGTATGGCGACAAATAAAGCAAGCTAAATAAAACACGCTGTTGTAGTTAATTTCTTTGTGCAGCTTTGCAGTACTTAGCGCACATACTGTGACCGCAAAAAATATGTGAGTTGACAAAAATTTTCGAGAGCTACAAGAACTATCATGTTTTGATTGATTGATATGTGGGGCTTAACGTGCCAAAACCACCATATGATTATAAGAAACGCCGTAGTGGAGGGCTCCGGAAATTCTGCCCACCTGGGGTTCTGTAACGTGCACCGAAATCTGACTACACGGGCGAACACCACTTCCCCGTCCATCGGAAATGCAGCCGCCGCAGCGGGGATTCGATTCCGCGACATGCGGGTCAGTAGCCGAGTACCTTAGCCACCAGACCACCGCGGTGGCGCGACGCTGTCACGTTTTAGTGCACTTCGAAGGATTCTTGTATTTATAATGTTTTATAAAGCTAAGTGAGTGAGTGAGAAAGGAAAGGCCGGGAGGTTAACCAGATATTGGCATCTGGTTTGCTACCCAGCGCTGGGGGTGGGGAAGTAGGGGCAAGAAAGAGGGGTTAGAGAGAGGGGAAAAAACGCACGCGCACTCATAAAAAAAACGAAAACACACACTGGAGGGCGTCCCAGCTACAACCGTTCAGCATGGCCGGTCAATCGCAAAAAGTTCAGCAGCACTTTCAGGGCCCTCTTCTGTGAAGTCGCATCCTGACGATACTGCAGAATTTCCTGCTCCGACAGAGGCTGATCATCTAATTTGTTGAGTTCCCTGCGAAGGCATAGTCGCCACCTACTATACGCTAGGCACTCACAAAGAACATGTTGAATGGTTTCCTCCTTGCCACAGTGGCCACAGGCTGCGGTGTCGGCCATCCCAATGCGGAAAGCGTAGGCGTTGGTAAATGCAACGCCCAACCACAGCCTACATAACAGGGTCTGGTCTGCTCGGCGAAGCCTCGACGGGACTTGAAGACTTAGCGTAGGGTCAAGCGAGTACAGTCGCGCATGCTTGAAGTGCGGCTGATTCCATTGCGATGTGGTTTGCCGGCGAGCAAGTCTGCGGAGCTCTCGTGCAGCATCCGTCCTAGAGAGTGGTAGTCGCAGTTTATGATTTTCTGTGTGGGCTGAGCGGGCAGCTTGATCGGCCCGTTCATTGCCGATGATTCCGCAGTGACTGGGCAACCACTGAAATGTAATTTGGTGCCCTTTCTCAGTCAGGTGGTGTATAATCTCTGCTATCTCTAGTACCAGCTGCTCGTGTGGTCCACGGCGTAAGGCTGATAGTAGAGACTGCAGTGCCGCCTTCGAGTCGCAGAAAATAGTCCACTTGCGCGTAGGCTGATCAACTACAAATTGCAACGCGGCACGAAGTGCTGCCAATTCTGCTGCCGTTGATGTTGTTGCGTGAGATGTCTTGAATTTAATTGTCGTGGCCAACCTTGGTATCACTACTGCTCCTGTAGAGCTGTCCGGCTGAACCGATCCGTCAGTGTAGATATGTGTGGAGTCTTGATATTTCTCATACAAGAGAAGTAGTGTGAGCTGTTTAAGAGCCGGTGACGACAAATTGGCCTTTTTCTCGACGCCAGGTATGTTAATATTAATTATTGGTTGAGCGAGGCACCATGGCGGAGTCACAGGTCTAGCGGCAGGAGAGAACGAAGTTGGGATCGACTCACCATGTGCGGTCACTGTTTTGCAGTAAGATGTGCATGGTCGGACCACTGGTAGAGAAGCTAGGTGATGTCGAGGGGTTCGAGCAAGGTGTCGTATATGTGTCCTCAGCACTTCCAGATTAATGTGGGTCTTGATGAGGTTGTCCCTTGTGATGGCGGTAGTCGCCGCTGTTGATGCACTTTGGGGCAAGCCTAAACATATCCGGAGTGCTTGAGCCTGGACACTTTGAAGCATTCGTATGCTTGTTTTACTTGCGTTGGTTAACACAGGTAGGCTGTACCGAAGGAATCCAAGGAAAAGAAACCTGTATAGTCGCAACATAGCAGTTGTGGACACTCCCCAGTTCTTTCCAGCGAAGAACTTGAACAAATGACAGATGCCTGTCAATCGCCTTTTCATGTATGATACATGTGAGCTCCATGAGAGGTCTCTGTCAATTATAACACCTAGAAACTTGTATGATCTGAGGTGACGCATTCTTTCGTTGTTTATCAGAACGCTGTAGTTATGCATTGGTTTGCGCGTAAATGCCACTAGTGCACATTTCTCAGAGGAAATTTCCAGACCTCGTTGACGGAGGTAAATAGCAACTTGAGTGGCAGCTCTCTGAATTCGCGCTCGCAGCTGTAGACGTGTTACTGCAGACGTCCAAACGCAGATGTCGTCCGCGTACATTGACAATCTGACAGTACTTGGCAGATGCTCATTTAGAGCTATTAGCGTCAGGTTGAATAGTACAGGGCTAAGTATGCCACCCTGGGGAACACCACGGTGGCTGTAGTGTAGCGTAGTGTCACCATCCTCGGTTCTCACGAAAAAGGATCGCTCAGAGAGATAGCTGCGTATCCACTGAAACATCCGACCACCCACTCCTACCTCCTTGAGAGCGGTGAGGACAGCTTCATGGGTGACGTTATCGTACGCCCCTTTAACATCAAGAAATAAAGAAGCGCAGAGACGCTTACGGCCTTTTTCGTGCTGCACGTAGGTGACCAGGTCTATGACGCTATCAATTGATGACCGGCCACGGCGAAATCCCGTCATAGCGTCCGGGTAGATGTTGTGATGTTCCAGGAACCATTCTAGCCGTCCAAGTACCATCCTCTCCATCACTTTGCCCAAGCAACTAGCCAGTGCAATCGGGCGGTATGATGTGAGCACCAATGGTGACTTGCCAGGCTTCAGTAATGGAACCAAACGGCTGGTCTTGCAGTTAACTGGGAGGGTGCCCTCTCGCCACGAGTCGTTGTATATCTCGAGGAGGGCACTCCTCGCACACTCACCAAGGTGACACAGTGCTCTGTATGATATTCCATCAGGCCCGGGTGCTGATGTCCGTCTACACAAAGCCAGTGCTGCTTGAAGCTCATGAATAGAAAAAAATTGGTCCAAGGGGTGATCGTGAGATGTCGTGCCACCGCGTGAGAGCGTGGAGATGTTGGGATCTGCGAGTTGACCAGATAAGTTGGCACAGAACTCTTCTGCCACGTCGACCTCCGATCTCTGTTGAGAGAGGGCTAGAGCCTTGAATGGAGACCGCTGAATGGGAGATGTCCGGAGCCCTCTTATTGTCCTCCACAAGTGTGATAAAGGCTTGCGAGGATCTAACGAAGCGCAGAAGGCTGCCCAACGTTGTGACTCTAGCTTGTCTATGCGGCGTTGTATCTTCTTCTGAAGACGTCTAGCGATTCGTAAATCGTCGATTGCTTTCGTGCGTCGGTACCTTCGTTCCGCACGCCGTCGGAGAGCCCGAAGTCGTTCTAATTCCACATCAAATTCGGTTACTCTCGAAGAGCATGTGAGGGTGCACACTGTGTCTTGCACTGTGGACTTGATCACCTCTTCTAAGTCAAATGAGGTGTTCTCTTGACAGCGTTCTTCCATGAGAGATTCAAACTTGGTCCAGTCTACTCTTTGGATAGTTTCGCGTACCTTGCAAGGTGATAATCTTCTGATCTTGACATATGTGGGAATGTGGTCGCTCCCATGTGTTTCTATGTCCGCAAACCATCCGGAACATCTGACAAGACCTCGAGAAACAAAAGTCAAGTCAAGGCAACTGCTGTATCCAGGGCCACGTAAAAATGTTGGGCTGCCATCATTTAACAAGCACAGCTCGTTGTCTGAAGCAAACGTTATCAGACTTCTACCCTTTGCGCTGATCTTCGGGCTCCCCCATAGCGTATGGTGGGCGTTGAAGTCTCCGATGATCACCCATGGGCCAGGAGTGGATGATAGGATGTGTCCTAGTCTTCTGTGGTCAAATCTACTTGATGGCGACAGGTATGCACCGACAACAGTGACAGTAAGACCCCTTTTCTTCACTGTTAAGCATATATATTGGTTATCGTTGTCAGGTGGTACAGGCCGAATAATGTAGGTCAGGTCACGTCGAATAAACAGCAGGACCTTGCTGTTTCCACTATAACAAGCCGACATAAAGGATTCGTATCCGGAGAGTCTAATAGCGCTCGATAAATTTGGCTCGCAGATGACGATGATGGGAAACATATTAGTGAAAACGAACCGACGGAAATCTGCAATGCGTGACTTCAGTCCCCGTGCATTCCACTGAAAAATTGTTGCTTTTTTTGACCTCTTCCCTGAAAGGCAGTGGCTGGTGGGCCATTATCTACTCAAGAGCCGCCAGTACTGGACTCAGAGCGTCCAGTACTTGAAGTGCACTTTTGGCTGACGTTGTGCGCATGTTGTTTAACACAGTGCGAATGGCATTAATTATGGGTCGTAGAAGAGCAATCACTTGCTTATCCAAGTTCCGCTGCTCCTCTGTTGTCGCAGCTTGCTCTGATGAATGCGGCTTCTGATGTGGTTCTTCCACAAGTTGCGTGCGCGTAAGTGGCGGCCAATCTTCAGTAGAGAGAGATCTACTTGTTTTCTGTTTTCCATCGTCTGCGTTCGCCGTGGTGTATTCTGCAGTGGGCGCCGTTCCCAGATGCGTTGGCTTACTTCTTGTAATTGACTGCGGTCTTCGCGAAGATCTTCGACGGTGACGTCGTCGTCTTCGCCGGACTTTTTCTGCGGCCTCTTTGTGGGTAGAGCTGTCTCGCACCATTTGTTTAAGAATAGTAAACTCCTTCTTTATGCGTGGACAGTCTTTGGAAGATGCACTGTGGGCACCTTGACAATTAGGGCACTTTAGTATGGTTGCGCTGCATTTGTCCTCGGTATGTGGTTCTGAGCATCGGGGGCACACTTCGGAGTTCCTGCACGCTCCCTGCACATGGCCGATCTTCTGGCACTTATGACATCGCATAGGTTTTGGAATAAATGGTCGGACCTGGTGACGAAAGTGGCCAACCTTCACATGGGAGGGGAGACTGTCCCCTTTGAACGTAATTCTC